ATTTATTCGGCGTTACCAGAGGCAACTTCCACAATTCAAGAGGAAGCAAGTCTGTGGGAGAGTTCATTCCCAGAAACCTAGATGGGTTTTGGAGAAGTCGTATATGCCTTTTTTTCCCTTTAAGCAGACGGAACTGATTAGAGCTTTCTTTCTTGTTTATATCAACATAGGAAGGACGTTGGCAAATTTACACATGAATCCAAGCCGAAGATATTTCCTCTCCAGACGCCTGGTCAGAATTTCAAAGATGACCTTATATTCTGCAAATGTGTTGCATTTTCTTGGTTGCCCTCCTTATCTGTGTGCTTGCTTGCTTTGCCTTATGGTGTTTTGGTATTTTAAGTGTGTAAGTGCAGTGCAATGAATCGCTTTTGTGTGGCCCTACTCACCACGGTCTTGTAACGCCCACTCAAGTGATTGGGTGGGACTATACAAATAAGGTAACTGTGGCCCACCAAGGGGATTGAATAGCTTGCTAATAATGCAAATAAAGTTCATGGCACCCGTGTGGGCATGGGACCATGCAAATAAGGTCTATGGAACCCTAATGAAGGGATTGGTCAGTTTTGCCATCCCACAAGGCTTAAAATGAGCCATCCCAGAGGCGGGAGAGAGAGGATCTCACCAACACCAAGAAAGAAGAGCCAAGAGCGGAACATGTCCTTTGGACCTGAGATCCCTGTGCTGAGAAGCTCCTGGAACCAGGAGACTGAAAGAGAGAGAGAGAGAGCTGTAACCCTGAAGCCGGCAAGAAGCAGTGACAGAGAAGCAGTGGCAGATAAATGGCAGCAGGAGGGACCCAAGGGAGAGACTGGCAGGAGATGGTGCGGTGGGCTTTCCAGCCCACAGAGCAATAAAGTTGAGTGCCTCTGGGCAGGAGGCTTGATGGTGGAGGAGGGTGCCTCTCAGCACTTGGTGGAGCTGGGTTTGTCAGCCCATGGAGCGTCTTCAGCCGAGGCTTACTGGCGGAGTAGGGTGCCTCTGAGCACTTATTGGTAAAGCTAAAAGAGCTTTGTAACACTTGCCCAAGCAGGGCAGAGGCCAAGGGGCCAGAGAGAGGCGTGCCTGCAGGCATGGCTGAAAAGAAGCTGTCCTGATGGAAGAACTGTATCCTGAGCATTCTCGAACCTGCTTCCCCAATAAACCCCATAATTGTGAATATTGTCTGTGAGCTCTGTGTGGCCACTGCAATGAATTATCAAACTCAGCAGAGAAGTAGAGAGTGCTGTGGGAGGGACGGTTAGTGTCAGAATCGGTAAAGATGGTGGCAAGAGGAGGCATGTCTGACCTCCACCTCACAGCAATCAGCCTTGGGCTGTTGACCTTGATTCTCCTTCCCCCCGGTGAAGTTAGACGTGAGACGCTGCCGCCATGCCATTCTTACAGTAAGTGACCTTACATCAGATCCTGAAGGCCGGTGCTTACAGCATGCCATCCCCAGAAGGTGGGGTCCTCCACCTCACCAAGCAGAGATGTGCAGCTCTTGGCCACCAAAAGGGTGGACGAGGCGGTCAGTCCTTTGCCAGCCACTTCTAACGGTGTCTTCCACCACTAGGGTCCTCCCTAAGAGAAGTGGCAAAGCTCCTGCTGCTCTTTCTTTCACACAGGGCCTCAGGGCTGTGCCAAGCATTTTCTGACCCACAGCAGCCCCAGGCTGGGTTGGGCTGGCCAGATGCAGAGCCACTAGGGAAGCCTTCCAGAGCCTTTAGGGAGGCCTTCTGGTTTGTTGACAATTTTTGGACCTGGTCATAATAAGCTGGAGCTAAGATAGGACTTGACTGCGTGGTGACACTCCACCTCCAGCTTCTGTCAGGAGTCAAGAAAGCACAAACAAGGATACTTGGTTCTGGACTGTGGCCCGCCCCTCCCCTGCTCTCATCTCTCTCCTCGCAGTTGCCCTCACTCCCGGGCCCAAACCTATTATGAGCAGAGCAGACGGTGCAGCAGATGCAAGAATATGTGGTGTGGTGTCAGCTGCTCTTGGTTTGTTCCCAGAAGCTGATGAAGGGGGTGGTAAGACTGTTCAGTATGAACACCTATAACCCAGTATTTGCCGCTACATCTCTCAAGACAGGGCCTAGGGAAGTGGCTAGAGGGTATGTGGCTTTAGGTTGCTTCATCTCTTCCATCTTCACCTCTCGGTTACTTCACTTGCTAAATAGGGAAGAACCCAACTGCTGAGAAGTGTTTGCATATTGTTTTGAACTGAATGCCTAGGAGTTACTGTAAACTTCTTGAAACTAGAACAGTTCCAACTCACAAGATCCTTGTAAGCCCAGGACATATGTGAGGGCAAACACAATTAAATTGTGTTTATTAAAAAATATATACGTAAACGCGTGTATGTGTGTACATGTACATACACACAGAGATATATATACACGCACACACACATACGGAGTCCCTGGGTAGTACAAATGGTAACAAGCTCGCAGCTAACCAAAAGGTTGGCGGTTTGAATCCACCCAAAGAAAGGCCTGGTGATCTACTTCTAAAAAATCACACTGAAAACTCTTAAGGAGCACAGTTCTACTCTGACACACATGGGGTCTCCATGAATCAGAATCAACTTGACAGCAACTAAGAGCAGCAACATACTATATATATATACATATAGATACATCCATAATATTAATATTATGTAATAATTAATAATATGAAATATATAATCATTCATATTCTTAGCTACTGGCCTTCCCCACAACTATTACAAAGTTGGGACTCCTTACTCCAGTCTCTTTAGTTCTATCGCTTTGCTTCAGTAGAGAGCACTGACCGGAGAAGACTGGACCCCAGTTCAGGGCCAACAACTACCTGTGTTACCCTCAAACCGCAAATCTCTCAAGTGTCTTCACTAACATTGCAGGTATCCGGTGCTCTGAAAGGCTGGGTGTGAAGCACACAGTGCCAGCACCCGGTGCTTTTACCCTTGAAGATACCATCAGCAGCTTCCTGCAGGCAGTTTAACTTATGGTGGTTTCCTTCTGGGCCATGGGGTGTGGTTAGGGAGCAAATCAGCAGTGACTTCAGCTGAGTTACCACACATCATCCTTCCCCACAGAAACCCCAAACCGTGCTGGGACTTGTATCTGGTTCCCTTACCTGGTTTCTGGGCCTAACCCTTTTGGGCACTAGACCAATCGCTGTTAGCCCTAGGCTGGGGTGTCGTGAGTTGGCAGAAAGCTGCAGCTAGCTGCTACTACTGTCTTTCCGAAAGAGACCAAGAGCCCTATTGAGAACGGAAGTTAGAACGCGAAGGAGCTGGCTTCCACAGGCAGGACCAGCACGTCAAGGCAACCACAGTCCTTGAAGCACTTCCTGGTGACCCCCATTATCCTATTAGTAGCCACGGTAATAAACACTCATAATAAACACTCCGGGGCACCTCTCCACTGACGTCTTTGATAACCCCCCAGGGTCACACGCCGCTAACTTCCAAGCTAACGGCGGAAACCATCTTCCTGCTGAGCTTGTCCGGACAAGGGCTAGGTGTGGGAGGTGTGCAGATCTGGAGGTCAGATATTCTGCGGGAAAGCAGGACTTCTTCAGCGGAAATTGCAGGCATAATCGGACAACTCCTAAAACCGACGCTGATGTTCACAGAAGCACCAATGGCACGCTGAGGACCATCACCAGCTGGCTGGGGGAGGATGGAGGAGGGCAGCTTCAGTAACCACAGTCCATTGGAGCAGCATTTGAGTCACTTCCACGTGGCCCTCGGTAAAGACGTAAATAGACCTTTGATGTGCGGGTCCCTAACGGAGGAGCTGCGTGCTCAAAGGGCCGTACAAAGGGGGCTCTGTGTTCCTCTGGCCTCCTTCCCTCCTCCCACCTCCTCTTCCTTTTGGTGAAAGGAAAACACACGGAAATGACAGGGAAAGGCCACCAGGCCTGACATTTCCTGGCTCTCGCTGCCACCAAGTGCTTCAGAGCGCACTGAAGAGGGAACACGGCGGAAGCTGATGCTGGGAACCGGAAGCCCAGAGCTTGTGCCAGAGGTTGCTCGATCAGGAACAGGCTGCAGAGCCGTGTACTCAGCTCTGCCGCAGCCGGGGCTATCAGGTGTAAAGACCTTGTTGTCCTGACACCCAAGGGGGTGTTCATTCACTCACTCACTCATTCATTCATTCATCCAATCTGCATTGACTGGATTCTGGCTGGATGCCAGGCACTGTTAGCTGCACTGAGAATTCAGTGGTGAACCTGAGAGCTGAGGTTCCTGCCCTCCAGAAGAGTCCATCCTATCTTAGGCTCCTAGTTCTGCTGTAACAGAAATACAAGCGAGTGGCTTCAAGAACAGAAACGTATTTTCTCAGAATTTAGGAGGCTGGAAGTCTGAATTCAGGGCACTGGCTCTAGCGGGAAGGCTCTCTGTTGACTCCAGGAGAAGGTCCTTGTCTCCTTTAGCTTCTGTAATCCCGGCGTGCCTTCATGCCTTGGCAATCTTCAAGTGGCATCAATCTTCCCCCTATTTGTGCTTGCTCGTCTCTGTGTCTAATCTGCTCTTTTCGGGACTCAAAAGTGATTAGGTTTAGGACATTCCCTACGCTGACATGGCCTCATTAACATAACAGAGAAAACCCTATTTCCAAATGGGATCACATCCACAGGTAAAGGGTTCAGGACTCCAACACATATTTTGGGGGAACACAATTCAATCTATAACACGTTCTAATGGGGAAGCCCCAAAATAAACAAGTCACAGACACTCGTCAGCCATCTCATCCAACAAAATTGTACTGGGCACCTCCTCTGTGCCTGAAAATGAAACACATGTGAAAACACCATCATTCTTTATTAGAGAGAAAGCACCCATGTACACCCACCCTGAGCCAAACTGTTATGTATAAACGTGGACTGATGAACTGGATCCATTATAGGGGAAGTGGAGAGGGGAGTAGAAAGGGAGGTTCATCTCAAAGGATTCCCCCCTCGGGGCTTCTTAAGCTGGGTCTGAACCAGCCACTTGCAAGCACCTTCTGAGGGACAGGTCTATTTGCACCGAGGTGGCAGGTCCTGGGCAAGAGGTGGCTGCTGACCTGTGGAAGAGCCTGGGCGGCTGTACATCACTTTCCCACTTACCTTGTGCCCACTCTGCAACCGGCCAAAGAGCACGTCAGAGGCGTCTAGACCATCGAAGTGCCGGTCCGGGGGCAGGCTGGCCTGGGCCAGGGCCACGACAGTGGGGAAGATGTCCAGCACACTGCAGGAGGAACAAGACCACATTGGCCCCAGGCAGCTCCCGGACTGTCTCCCTGGCCACACTGTGGTCACAACCCACCCAAACCAGCCCGAGACCAAGCACCAGCAGCCTCCTGTGTGGCCCGTCCTCTCTGCCTGCCTATCTTTCCGCTTCCACCTCAGATCCTGCTCCTATAAGAAGCAGAGCGCTGCAGTGGTTCAGCACCTAGGCTCTGCAGCCAGGTTGTTGCTTGCTTGGGTTCAAATCCCCACTCTGCCACTTACTATCTAGCTTTTCAATGCCTCAGTCTTCTGCTCTCTAAAACAGGCATAACAATAATCGTGCCTGCCTCCCGGGGTGGTTGTGTGGGTGAAGCATAGGGAAGGCACTTAGGAGAAGGTCTGGCACTTGGAACGTGTTCACTGAATGTTTGTGTTATACTTATTCACAGAGACATCACTATGACCTCTCTCTAAGATCTAAGGAGTCCTACCTGCCACCAACCAGGCCACAGCCACTCACTAAGAGGGAACAGTGTATGACAGGTGTCCGCAAAAGAATGTTCACTTCGATTTTCATTCCCTGCTTCTCTGCGGTAAATATTTAATCTTTGTTTAGAATGCCATGATACATGAAACATTCCTCCCCTCCTTTTTTTTTTTAAATTATTTTTCCCCATTCTAAAATAGCAAATGTTTGTTGTAGGTAAAATTAGCACACACAGAAATACAAAAGAGAGAAAAATACCCAACTAGTCTTATTGCCCAAAGGAAACCACTGTTGGCATTTTGGGGTTTTTCATTAACGTGATTTTTTTTTAAAGTCATGTAGTTTAGTTTCACTCTACTATTCAACACGTCCCCCTCCAGCCTGCTGTGCTCATGTCGGGAAAAACTTCTCAGCCAGGACAGAGGGGCTGCCTTCAACGGGGCTGTTGATCTGAGGGCCAGGCCAACTGAGTCAGTGGATTCGACTGAGCCAGGTGCAGGGTCAACGTGAGGCTAGACTTCCCCAGGAAAGGCCCCGGGCATCCTGAGCGCTGGGCACCGCAGCAAACTTTGGCTGACTCATGGGGCGGCCTCAAGGACCACCAGTTTAAAAAAAAAAAAAAAAAAGGTCGTCAAGGATACTCCAACTCATGGCAACCCCATGAGTGTGGGAGTAGAACTGTGCTCCATAGGCCTGTCTTCTGAAGCATCTCAGGATGGACTCGAACCTCCAACCCTTCAGTTAGCAGCCCACCATGTTAACAGTCTGCACCACCCAGGGACCCCTCCAAAGACCACATCACCCCACTTTCCCCACCCTGAGGTCCCCGGAGGTCTCTATCCTCCGAGGGGGGTTGCAGATCTTACTAGCTCCTTCCCCTCCCCAGCGCTCAGCCTACAACCCCAGGCAGAATCTCTCCACTGAGTACAGTACAGAGTGTTTTCTGGTTTGCCTTCACAGGCCACGTAGCTGGCGGCTTATCTCTCCAGATACGCGCTCCAGGAGCTGCCATCCCACACGAAAGCCGACTGAAGGAGCTCAGAGTGAACACTTGCAAAGTACAGAACAGTCCAGGGACCTGTCCAAAGTCCAAGGTTCCTGCCACAGACCGGGAAGCAAAGAGCACCGCACTGCAGTCTGAAAAGGCTGCGTGGTTTGAGTTTTCTCTAAATTGCTCCCCTAAAAGAGGAGATCAGCGTCACATATGTGTCAAATTACCAGCAAGAAAAACAGGATCTGTGTTAGATTTTGGAATGTACTATATGCTTTTTCATCTTATTTTTTCCCCTCTAGCATGAAGTTTAGCATCCTAATTATAATTAAGGTATAGCCCTAATTCTAATATTCACAGAATCCTAGTGTCTCAGAACTTGGCAGGAACCTCAGAGGTGCGAGTCCACCAGATGCACAAGGAAAACCCCTCACCAATGAGAAAAGCTTCAATACCTCCAGTGACTCAAGGCAGCCCAGTCCAGCGTTGGCAAGCTTGGGCTGTGAAAAAGTCCCTCCTTGTGTCATGGTGGGAAACCAAGCCCCCAAGGCCAGCTCTGGAAGAGGGAGGCACAGCCTGGCACACACAGCCCTGTTGCCATCCCAGGGCTGGGCCCCCAGCCTAGGCTGTGAACTTGCCCGGCAGCAAAACATGTGCATCCATTATACGCTGGAGATGGGGCTAGGAGTGGTGGCGGGTATGAGACCATCTCCTGTCCCTCCTCACCCCTGCCCGTTACCAGATATAGGAAAGAGGAGGGAACCCTGAGGGTGACATCTGAACCACCAGACACTGAAAACCACACAAACACTGACTCCTTGAAGCCTCTTCTGAAACATCATCCCCTTACAGCTTCTACTTGCAGAACACTGGCACCTTGTAGTTTCTACTTCCGGAGCATGGGCTCCTTGTAGTTTCTACTTCCAGGACCTCATTCTGTGCCTCAAGACAATACCCGTTGCCATCCAGTCGATTCCGACTCATAGTGACCCTACAGGACAGAGTAGAACTGCCCCATAGGGTTTCCAGGGAGCGGCTGGTGGATTCAAACTGCCAAAGGTTAGCAGCTGAGCTCTTAACCCTGAGCCACCAGGGCGCCTCAAGACAGTACAGAATCCCAGACTCCCTGTTCTACATGACTGATTACCTTTCAGATAACCGAAGACTGCTACAAGGTACCCCCAGGGGATTATCTGCGCTCCTAGCTAAAAAGCAGCTTTAGCTGTTTTTCAAACGAGACTGTTTCTAGTCTGGTTCTGGTCACCTTATACTCACCCCAGTTCATCTCCAAAAGAGCGGCCCTCAGTTCTGAACAGAGGTGGGGGCCTCCCAGCTTAGATGCAGAGCAGACTCTTCACTTTCTTGTATATCGCCAAGAGAAATTATATTAAAGCCCTGGTTCTCAACGCAGGTGAGTTCCCACCCCCACCTCCAACTCCCCACCCCATCTCCTTCATTGGACACCACCTAGAGACATTTTTGGTTGTCATAGCTATGAAGGGTAGGGAGGTTGCTACTGGTATCTAGTGGGTAGAGGTCAGGGATGCTTCCAAACATCCCACAGTACGCAAGACATCCCCCCACAACAAAGCATTATCTGCCAAAATGTCAACTGAGCCGAAGTTAAGAAACTTTGCATTAGAATTTTAGGTTAAAACCACCAGAGCTTTTCCACGTGCTCTACCAAAGCCCTGGCCTCCCCAAGGTAAGCTCCTAAACATCAGGAGCTTTTGGTCTGATTTGTTCATTCCTGTATCCCCAGTCCCTAGAACAATGATTGACCCATAGTTGGCCACAACAACAAATATTTGTTGAATAAATGAACTTCCCCCATTCTGTAATTGTCTCATTGGGCTCTGGGTCAAGACCTTTATTACATCACCTAGGTGTACACTAAAAAATTAACATTGGTTATCGGTAAAAGGACGGGGACCAGAGGGGACCTCCCCCTGCCACACACACACATTTGTACTTTCAGGTATTCACCGTGAGTATTTACACCAACTTGACTACTCCCTGAAGCCCATAATTCATTGGGGCCACTGGAATTTAGGTTTAAGGGACTCTGGCCTTGGCTCTGAGTGGCTTAAGGGAATTCTCTCTGATCTAAAGGAAGATCTATATTCCTCCCAGGAATAAAGTGCTAAATAAATAAGAAGTCTGAGCTGGAGTGCCTGGCTGGGCTCCTAAGAACATGACGTATCAGCATCAGTTTCTTGCATAAGCATCATAATGACATTCTTCTTAGAGCCGGGCTCTGAGGGAATTATGGGGGAAAGGTACTGGGCACACAGCAACCTGCCTGGGCAGTAAGAAAGCTCCACCCAAGTTTGCTTTACATGGATTCTCGTGGGGAAATAGCAAAAGGGTTAATTCTATTAAGAAACTTTCCTGCTACAATCAGGACTAATTTAACACCAAAAATTATCCGAAGAGGGGCTAATGTGGCATATTGGCATTGTGCCCCGGTGGGGCCTGAGGCCTCAATGAAGTGTACCCAATGTACCACCCTGTACCAAGACTTGCTTCTTTTGGTCATCAGACTATCCCCTAAGTCAGCTGCCACCTCTAAGGCCCTAAGTTATCAACAAGTGATCTTGTGGATAACTACAGTGGTTGACTGTAGGTGCGAATGCAGATCTCAAAGGAAAAGCGCGTGCTCAGTTTCTGGTGATGTAATCTGAGAGATCATTGAGTTATTTGTGCATGTGCAACCCAGCCCATGAACTTGGCCCCTCTCAATAAGCGCTCTGACTCCACCAAGCCAGTCCTATAAAAAGCAGCCCGCCTGGCCCTCTTCCCAGCCAGCCTGACATCACAGACTCCAGGCTGCGCTCTTGTTGTCACACCTGCTGGCACCCACTGACAGCATACTGCCCCCTCCTGAGTGCACAGGGCTGACCTGGGGTTCCTAGGGGGCCCCACAGGCTGCCAGAGACAATGCCTACCCACCCTCCATTTTGGCCACCAGAGCCGTTTACCCTTTCCTTCCCCTGGGCTTCCGTCTCTCCCTTCCTCCCCACTGGGTCTGAGGATGCTGGCAGGTGCCAATCAAGTCTGCTTTGTTCTCCTAGACTGTGTTCTTTATATTAGAGCCCATTCAGCTAATGGGCGAGAAACTTTGAACTAGGAAATCAGTCTTTAACCAGACCAAAACCTCTGAGCATGTGACCAAGCACCAGCTTCTGTGGAGAGTCCCCCTTGTTAATGAATACAGGCCAGAACCACAGTGAGGAAGTCCCCATCCGAATTAGCAAAAAGCCTGCCTTAGAAGCCCTGGTTACACAACCCCAATGGCATTGCTTTCATATTGCACACCACAGCCAAGTTCTTTGCCAAGAAGCTGGCCTCTTGGATCTACTTAATGGGGAGATAAGAGTGATGGTGGGATACTATCACATTTACAGCCATCCTTCTAATAAAGGAGCCCTGGTGGCGCAGTGGTTAAGCACTCAGCTGCTAACCGAAAGGTCAGTGGTTCAAACCCGCTAGTCACTCCACAGGAGAAAGATGTGGCAGTCTGCTTCTGTAAAGATTACAGCCTTGCAGACCCTATGGGGCAGTTTTGCTCTGTCCTACAGGGTCGCTATGAGTTGGAATCGACTCGATGACAGTGGGTTTGGGTTTGTTCTAATACAGGAAGCATCCAGCGACTCACTCATTATAGAAGCTTCATTGCCAGGGGTAGGAAGCGTGTCCTCATGTGGGGATTCTCATTGCCTACTGGCCTAGTGGGGCCACCTCCCCTCCAGGGCAAGTGGGCATCTAAACTCCTTTCTTGGGACCATCTGACTGTCAGTGAGTGACAGGCTGGCTCCACACAGTCACCCTTAGGACACCTGCCCTGCCCCCAAGGACAGAATAATTAGGGTTCAAATAATATATTCCCTCCCCTCTGCTCAGCCCAGGCCAAGGGAAGAGTCACTGCTGCCCTCTTTTGCTACTTCTTTCTCTTCAGCAGGGAGCTCCTGGGTGGCGGAAATGATTAAGTGTTTGGCTGCTAACTGGAAGGTTGGTGGTCCAAGTCCATCCAAAGACACCTCAGAAGAAAGGCCTGGTGATCTACTTCCAAAACATCAGCCATTGAAAATCCTATGCTACCAATAAAAAACAAAAAAGAAAAGAAAGAAAACAAAACTCTGTGAGGCACAGTTCTACTCTGCTACACATGGGGTCACCATGAGTGGGAATCAACTCGACAGCAACTAGTTTGGTTTTTGATTTTTCTCTTCAGCAGACACCACCATGACTCGATGCTAAAGGAAGTGAAACCCACCCGAAGCCCCTCTTCACTCAGACATTATCCCCAGATGATGGCCTGATCGGAGTTCCAAGGCACTAGTTACTTTAATTAGCACGTGCAATTGCCTTATGGACAAATCCATGCTGCTGCCATCAGAGCGCTAGCAGTAGCGGGCACACCTGGCTTCCTTTTGACTTGGATTCTCTTCCTTCTCAGTTCCTCCCTTAGGACATTCTCTTCGCAGAAAGACCTATATGGGCCAGGGATTCCCAGGGCTTCCCAAAGCTCTCTTTGTTTCCTGCCGGCCATCCACCTCCAGCCAGCTATCTGCCATCATGCAAAGGCATGTGGTGCGTGAGTTTCCTGATGTCTCTGGCCACCCAAGCAGCCATGATTTTTCTTGCTCTAAAACCCAAAGTCTCAAGGTAATTTGGGACTCATACCTTAACAAAGCAGTGCTGGTGACATTGATGGGGACTCTGCCAGGCCAATAAGCCAGAGCTGGGACCCGGTGTCCTCCCTCCCACGTGGTCTGCTTGGCTGGGCTTCCCCCTGTGAAAGGAGGGAAGGCAGGTGGTTCATGGATGGTGATAACTCGAGACTTCTTTTCAGCTAAGAGACAGGCCCTCTCCAAGAGTTCCCAGTAATCCCAGTAAAGGAACGACTTCTCTTAGTAAACAGTGATTTTTACTCAACTAGTGCATATTTTTCAATAAATGAGTTTATTTTCCTGGGCTGAACATATGTAAACAGTTCCCTCCGTCACTCTCCGTGGAATCACGTCACTTTATTTTCTCCACGGCACTTGCACCACCTGAAGTGATATTGTTTGTTGATTTACTCACATCTTGTGTGTTTTTAAACCGTGAGAGCCCTTCATCAATCTCATTCACTCTGAACAGCGCCTGAGATACAACAGATGCTTAACAAATATTTGTTGAATAAATGAATTCGTCTGCGTTTTATGAGCATGATGTTTAGGATGAAAAAATACAATTATCTGAAAAAAGAGAGACTTGGAAGCTTCCCCCCAGCTATTTAATCTGCCCAATGCCCCACAACTGGTCTGGCATCGATTTGATTGTTTTGTTTTGCTTTCCTCTTCCTTGAATTAACGAGTTGTTATGACGTTGTGGAGACAGTGTTAGTAATAGCTCTTGCCTCTTAGGGAGGCCGCAAGAACAGAGGTGCAATCTATGAATTTCCACTTTGGTAATTAAAGGAATTATTTTTGTAACCACTTAGTCAAAAGGGACCACCAATATAATGATGACCAGCGTGCTGGAAGAGATGAGGTCATGCTTTATGGAAACATCCTGAATACATGTTGCACTGAGTTAACCATGACTACCCCCCACCCCCACACACACCCCACCCTCATGCTGGTTGAGCCAGAGGCCAAGTATTCCACAAAGTTAGCGTGTAAAAAGCCTTTCCAAGGCAAACGCTGTCTATGGCTCACACAGACCGTGGTCATGCAACGTCCCCACGTTTGGCTGGAGTGAACAATAAAAGCAATTATGATGAAGGGCATGGAAAATAAAAACTCTGAACGCACATTGCAACATGCGGAACCTTTGATGTCCCTGGCCCAGCATGCCACACCGGAAATGCTCAGCATTCTTAGGACCTTCTCATAACCAGCTTTGGGGACCACCAAGTGTTAAAGTACAAACAAAACACAAAACTCACGTCCTATAGACTGTTTAGTAGCCCTGGTGGTGCAGTGGTGAAGAACTCGGCTGCTAACCAAAAGGTCCGCAGTTTGAACCCACCAGCCCCTCCACGGGAGAAAGATGTGGCAATCTGCTTCCAGAGTGATTTATAGCCTTGGAAATCCTACAGGGCAGTTCTACTCTGTCCTGTATGGTCACTATAAGGTCAGAATCAACTCGATGGCAATGGTTTGGTTTGGGTTTTATGAACTGTTTAAGGGTGTGGGGCTGGCAAAACCAATTGGAGTTTGGGCAGGCTAAGCAAAGTGCTTTGATCTAGCCCGATATTTCTCAAATACATTCTTCCCATTGTGAGCCACATCACCATAAATACACATAGAGTCTACTCCCAATTATTCATGCATAGTGAACAGAGGATCCACAACTGCAGCAAGCATAAAATGCATTTCCACGTGACTTTGGAATGCGTGACTTATGCTTCCGCTTAAGGCCAAAGAGTAGGGAGGAAGTATCCACCATGCTGGTGCTGGAGCTCTGCAGATCATTCCACCCCCGCGAGGGGCATTGCGTGGATGCTTGTGGTAGGGGTAGATGAAAATATGGAGACTGTTTATTTGCATGTCCATGGTGGACAAATCCAAACAGACTTGCTTAACCTTTGAGGCCAGATGCTAAGGAAGGGTAAAGGCTTCAGTTCAAAGAAAACAGCCATTTGTTCTGAAGGACAACCGGAAGGAAGGAGCTGTGTGGGCAAAGAGCACCAGGGAAATCACACAGGAATTGGTCTCTGACCCCAGGAGGTTTCCAAAAGGGTAAAACAAAAAAACCAAATTCATTGCCATCAAGTCAATTCCAACTCATGGTGACCCTATCTGTGCAGAGTAGAACTGCTGTACTCAGTAGGGTTTTCAAGGCTGTGTGAGCTTTCAGAAGCAGATCACCCGGTCTTTCTTTCAAGGTGCCTCGGTGGCTTCTAACTTTTGGTTAGTAGTCAAGCCCTTAACTGTTTTTACCACCCAGGGACTCCTCCAGAAGGGTCTACTGCCCCCTAATTAATAAATTTTCCTTCTCCAAATCCCAGTTTCTCACTGGCACTGCTGAGGTTAGGCAAAACATAAAAAGCTCCCACTAGCACTCTTTATGGGTCCCCAGGGTTATCAGCTGCCTGTGCTTGTAGCCAACGATGCTTGTGGTTTACCTGATCCAGCAAAGGCTGAATCCCAGGAGAGCTGCCCCTGGTCACCCAATTCTCATCACTGATCCTGTCCCTACTAAAGGGAACTCAGTCCAAGTTCAACATCATAATAACAGTAACAATAGTATATCTAAGCACCAAGTTGCTGGGGGCTCTGGTCCTTCCATGTGGAAGGCCTCGGTTAAATTCCTGACCAGTACCACCACCCATCTGTCAGTGAAGGCTTGTGTGTTGCTATGATGCCAAACAGTCCCAGTGGAGCTTCCAGACAAAGACAAACTAGGAAGAAAGTCCTGGCAATCTACTTCCAAAAAAATCAGCTAATGAAAACCCTATGGATCACATGGTCCAATCCCATTGTGCACAGGGTCACTATGAATGGGGGCCGACTCAATGGCAGTTAACAACATAACAAAGCACCAATTTAAGTGCTTCTAAACATAATGATCCCTCATAATCTCATTGAATCCTATGACAACCTTGTGAGCTAGGCACTGTTATCTCCATTTGATGAGAAAACCGAAGCTCAGAGAGGTTAAGTAATTTGCCCAAGGTCACACAGCTAGCAAACCGTAGAGCCAGGATTTGAATCCAGGTCTAACTACACAGCCAGTACACACCATTGCATTATTCTGTGTCTTAAAGGTGAACGCAATGAAATAGCTAAATCTTTTAGGATGGCGAGTCCCATCCCTGAATGCATATTAGAATCGCTAGGGGAGCTTTTAAAAAACACCAGGCCAAGTCTCCTTCCCCAGAGATTGTGATTTAATTAGCCTGGAGTGGGACCTGTACATCGATAGGTTTTAAAGCTCTCCGGTTTGACAACGTGGAGAGCCACCATTCCAGACGAAAGAGGGTAAGGGACAAGATGGGGAAGTAGACCCACTGTGTTTAAAAACTAAATGTAGCTTTGTTGTTGTTGTTGTTGGGTGCCGTCAAGTTGATTCCAACTCATGGCGACCCCATGTGACAGAGCAGAACTGCCCCATAAGGTTTTCTTGGCTTATGTGGTTTTAAATCACAGGTTTTATACTGCTCGTGCCTTTATACTTTTATGCCATAGGATCATAAGTTGCAATCAGTAAGAACAATAGATAAGTCCTTAAATTAAACTTCTACGCACTTTTCAATTTCAAAACTATTTCTTAGTTTAGATAAACCTTAATAATTTGATCAGTGGCCCTGGATGTTGAAAGTGTTGGTCGTGTTTGGCTTTCTGTTGAGAAATGCCTGTCATATGGCCAGGAGAACGCATTTCTATGCACTTGTGGTCAGTTGTGACTCTAATTAAGGCAGAACCTCTTACTTAAAGCAATAAATATTTAGCCTCAGCAACCAAAATATAAACAGAACCATGATTCATGAATTTGCTTACTTGTTCTTCCCTGGCTACAGAACCGAAGTGGCATTCCATGATGCATCAAGACAGGGCAGGCCAAGGAAGGAAAGGACCCAGCTGCCATGCTTCCCTGAGTCAGAAAGGCCGAGTGGCTAATATGGAGGTCCACAAACTTCTCAGTGCAGTGGACTCACCAGGAAAATGGATCTAAAGTTTGGATTCATGAGTTCCACCCCAGAAATTCTAATAAGTCTGCAGTGGGGCTCTGGTTCTGGGTGATTCTGATGCCAATGGTCAGAGGATCAAACCAAAAAACCTATTGCCGTCAAGTCGATGCCAACTCATAGCGACCCTGTAGGACAGAGTAGAACTGCCCCATAGAGTTTCCAAGGAGCGCCTGGTGGATTTGAACTGCCGACCTTTTGGTTAGCAGATGTAGCTCTTAACCACTATGCCACCAGGGATTGTGGGTGAAGGATCAGACTTTGAAAAATATTAGCAGTGTAAGCAGAAGGACACCTTTGGAGCCAGACAGATCTGAGCTCTAATCCCAGTGCCACCCCTTCTAACCATACAGCCTTGAGCGGAATCCTTAACTTCCCCTAGTCTCAATCTCATCACCTGTAGAGGGAAAAAATGATCATACTTATCTCATAGGGCTATGGGCAAAATTACTCAAGACAATGCATATAAAGTTTCAAGCAAGGTGCTCTGGCCCTGGGCCTGCCTCGGAAGTGCCCAACAAATGCAATCCAAAAGCAACCCAAACTACAAACAGGTAGAAAACAGCAGAAGTAGCAACCCAGCAGCTCACACAGGGAACCCGGCCCTCTGACGGTTCAGCTTGGCGAGCACCATATATATATGCCTGTGTGCGTGGGTTTTTTAAAACTAATTTTGAATGTCATTAAACAGGGCCCTCTCTCCAATTTACTTAATCTCTAGCACTCCCTACAACTTAACAAAAACAAACATTTGTTCATTTCTGTTACCTGCCTGGCCCACAAAGGCATTTGAATTTGTTACTCGGGTAGGAAAACTCCCCTGTTTTGCAAAGTTCAAGTTCTATCACCTTTGTTGCCAAATATGAATAGGTACCCTTGCCAAGGATGCCGGGAGCACACAATTCTCTAGGGACACAGGGCAGCCAGGCCTCTGCTCGGACCCAGGACTGGCTGACCTGGGGTGGCCCTGAGTGTGGTGATGAGGACATTCCAACCAAATCTGACGGCCAAAGGGCCAGAAGGAGACATAACTCAACTTCTGCTGGGTCCCCCACCAGATGGCCCTGCCCCCAGCTAGGGCCCACAGCCAACATCCTGGTCCCCATTGTCCCTGG